TACCGACTGGCGCTGGGCCTGCTCGTGAGCGCGCTGACCGGCGCGTCCCCGCAGGGCGGCGAGTGCCCGCAGCTCTGCGTCTGCGAGGTCCGGCCCTGGTTCACCCCGCAGTCCACGTACCGAGAGGCCGCCACCGTGGACTGCAACGACCTGCGCCTGACCAGGATCCCCGGCAACCTGTCCAGCGACACGCAGGTGCTGCTGCTGCAGAGCAACAGCATCGCCGGGGCCGCGGACGAGCTGCGGCGGCTGCCCAACCTGACCGAGCTGGACCTCTCCCAGAACAACTTCACGGACATCAGGGCGCTGGGGCTGGCCAGCCTGAGCCAGCTGACCACCCTGCACCTGGAGGAGAACCGGATCGCGGAGATGCCCGACCGCGGCCTGCAGCGCCTGGGCAGCCTGCAGGAGCTGTACGTCAACCACAACCAGATCAGCGCCATCTCCGCGCACGCCTTCGCGGGCCTGGCACGCCTCCTGCGCCTGCACCTCAACGCCAACCGGCTGAGGGTCATCGACAGCCGCTGGTTCGACTCCACGCCCAACCTGGAGATCCTCATGATCGGCGAGAACCCGGTGGTCGGCATCCTGGACATGAACTTCAGGCCCCTTTCGCGCCTGCGGAGCCTGGTGCTGGCGGGCATGGACCTCACGGACGTGCCGGGGAACGCGCTGGTGGGCCTGGACAGCCTGGAGAGCCTGTCCTTCTACGACAACAGGCTGGCCCGCGTCCCCCAGCTGGCCCTGCGCAAGGTGCCCAACCTCAAGTTCCTGGACCTGAACAAGAACCCCATCCGCAGGATCCGGGAGGGCGACTTCAAGGACATGCTGCGGCTCAAGGAGCTAGGCATCAACAACATGGGCGAGCTGGTGTCCGTGGACCGCCACGCCCTGGACAACCTGCCCGAGCTCACCAAGCTGGAGGCCACCAACAACCCCAAGCTGTCCTACATCCACCGCGCGGCCTTCCGCGGCGTGCCGGCGCTGGAGAGCCTGATGCTCAACAACAACGCCCTGCGCGCCGTCTACCACACCACGGTGCAGTCGCTGCCCGGCCTGCGCGAGATCAGCATCCACAGCAACCCGCTGCGCTGCGACTGCGTCATCCGCTGGGTGGGCGCCAACGACACCGGCGTGCGCTTCATGGAGCCGCTGTCCATGCACTGCGCCGCGCCGCCCGAGTACCGCGGGCAGCGGGTGCGGGAGGCCCTGACCCGGGACGCGGGCGAGCGGTGCCTGCCCATGATCGCGCACGACGCGTTCCCCAGCCACCTCGACGTGGACGTCGGCGCCACCGTGCCCCTGGACTGCCGGGCCGTGGCCGAGCCGGAGCCCGAGATCTACTGGGTCACGCCCCGGGGTGGCAAGGTGACTGCGGGCACGCCGTCCGGCAAGTACCGGCTGAGCGGCGAGGGCACCCTGGAGGTCACCGGCGCGCAGGTGGAGGACTCGGGGAGGTACACCTGCGTCGCCCAGAACGCCGAGGGCGCCGACACGCGCGTGGTGACCGTCACGGTCAACGGGACCCTCCTGGACGGCGCCCTGGGGCTGAGGGTCTCCGTCAAGCGGACGGAGCCGCGCTCCGTCCTGGTGTCCTGGGAGGCCAGTCCGAACGCCCTGACGTCCAACCTGAAGTGGTCCTCGGCCACCATGAAGATCGACAACCCCCACATCACCTACACGGCCAGGGTCCCGGTGGACGTCCACGAGTACAACCTCACGCACCTGCAGCCGGCCACCGACTACGAGGTGTGCCTCACCGTGTCCAGCGCTCACCAGCAGACCCAGAGGTCCTGTGTGAACGTCACCACCAGGGACGCCGCCCTCGTCCCGCGCGGGTCTGACCGGGCGGCCAGCGCGGCCCTGGCCGCGGCCACGGGGGCCATGTTCGCGGTCGTCAGCGTCGCCTCCATCGCCGCGTACACGGCCAAGAGGCTCAAGAGGAGAAACTGCCACCACTCCCTGAAGAAGTACATGCAGAAGACGTCCTCCATCCCCCTCAACGAGCTCTACCCGCCCCTCATTAACCTCTGGGAGGGGGACGGCGAGAAGGACAAAGAGGGGGCCGCCGAGGCCAAGCCGCCCCGGGTGGACACGTCCCGGAGCTACTACATGTGGTGACCGGGGCTGGCCCGCTCTGGTAGCTCGAGCACAAGGCGCCTCCGCTCACCGCCAAAGAGGCGCGGCCAGCGCGGCCCACTCGGCCGGCCG